ATTCACCAGTCATTCACCTTTGACAGGACCTTACCCTGGATTCCTGAAGGAACATGTATGCAGGACCCCTTTCCAGTATAAACCCCTAACCCTAAGCTACAACAAGACCAACTCTCCTTTCCTTTCTGAGTCTCCCAGACATTCTGTCTGCTATTCTCTGTCACTCATGCTATTCAGTAAACTGTTTCCACATCTTCCTAGCTTGGATTTGACTTCTTTCCTGTAGCCTCTTGCCTGGTCCTGCGAGGGGGCTCTCTCCCCCACCCCCCGCCAATGGCTCCTTGGACCCAGCCTGCCTGCATCAATATCTCAGCTAGTTCCTTTCCCAATCTAACAATCTATCATTTAATATTTCCAATAATGTAATGCCATGTCAGGTGGGAAGAGAATAAGAAGTTAGGATTCATAAGGGATAAAGGTCTAAGCTACATTTATTCTTTAGTAACCTATTAGTAGTTTACATAGTAAAGGAGGTTTTAAGATAACCTGCTTGGATACAGATAAGAGAAGCCCAGATTGCAAGCCTTTGTTATCAAAGACGCTGCTGACTGTCCTGGAGGGCTCAAATCACAAAGGAATGGAAAGGAAATTTCTTTTGACCAGGTGCAACTGAGAAGCTGCTGGCAGGGGTGGAAACTTACTGGTTTCAAAATATCATTAGATGCATAGAAGGATAGAGGCCAATCGCCATATGGTTGACCTTGGACTTGGGAGCACATTGGTGGCAGCAATAAGTACCTGTTTGTCTGAACCCCACCCTAGGCCTGAGACCTGAGTCAACCTGCCGGTGCTTCCTGGCAACCGGGGACACCTGGGCAAAGCTGAAGGACTCTGAACCTGGCTGGTCCATAAGAAAGAAGTTGAGACCAAGATTTGATCTTTTTATTGTCTTTTTTTCTATTACGAAGTACCAGATTGAAAAATACAGAAAGTGGGGCGCCTGGGCAGCTTAGTCGTTTAAGCGTCCAACTTTCACTTAGGTCATGATCTCACGGTTCGTGGGTTCGAGCCCCGCGTCAGGCTCTGTGCTGACTGCCAGCTCAGAGCCTGGAGCCTGTTTCAGAGTCTGTGACTCCCTCTCTCTCTGACCCTCCCCTGCTCATGCTGTCTCTCTCTCTCTCCTAGAAATAAANAAAAAAAAAAAAAGAAAAATACAGAAACATAGAAAAACATGCCAAATCCTACCATTTCGTTAGAACCACCATTAACATCTTAGTGTGTTTCATCTTTTGAATGGTTCACTTGGAACAAATATTACTTAAGGCCTCTGGTTCACAGTACTAGACCCTGGAGATTCTTGAGGTCAAGGCAACGGACGCTTTGTAGAGCCTGTAGCATTTCCTCCCAATCTTTCCTAGGCATTTCTTTTTGTACAGGCACAAATGTTTCGAGCTTCTCTCTCTCTGCTGTAGTCCCTGCTCCTTGAAGAATCCCTGTTGAGCATTGTCTGGGGCTCATTCTTTGTTGCACTTCGGTGACCGTGGCAGATGCTGTGAGTGTCCTGTGTCCCCAGGCGCATCTCAGACCACCTGCAGCTGCACTACATGGTTCTCAACATGCTGATAGCATCCCACGTCCAGCATTGCATCTTCTCTCTCTGGTTCTCAAGCCCGATTCTTCACCATTTTCAAGCTTTCTGAAACTAATTGCTTAGGAAGTCTTCGTTTCCCATGCATGTATTTGTTCTGTGTGTCCGCTATGCCTTCAACAGCTGTCCTCACAAGGGGAGATTTGAGGAGGTGGTGGAAGTAGAAATGCACCGGGGCTGGATTTTTACCCGAGGAATTGGATGTGTGTGTGTGTGTGTGTGTGTGTGTGTCCACAGGCGCACATGTGTATGTGTGTGTTTATGCATGTGTGTATGTGTGTGTGTGTTTAAATCAACCCTGTCTCTTTTTTGTTGTGAAAATACATGCCTCTGTTTAGAAAAAAATATACACCAAACAGACACACCCAGATCCTTAATCCCCTTTCCCAGACACTCGCCAACTTTCTAATGTGTTTTTCCAGAAATATTCTAGGTATAGAAAGCACAGGTATTTAATATAGATTCCCTTTTTTTACATAATATGGAGCATAATATACACTTTACACTTCACCATGTATATTGAGATTCCCTCCAAAATAGAGCTACTTGACTTTTTTCCACAACAATGTTATGTTGTTTGGAAATGTCCCTTTTGAATGGGCATTTTGGCTGTTTAACTCACTTGCTGTCACAAATAACTCTGCCTTGAACATCCTTATACACACATTTTTGAACACATGTATCACTACACTTTTGTCAACACGGAATATGATCAATAAATATCTTCTTTTGATAATCAGTAGGTGACAGTATTTTCTTGTTTCAATGTGAATTTTTAAAAAAAATTTTTTTAATGTTTTATTTCTTTCTGAGATAGAGAGGGAGAGAGAGAGAGAGACAGCGTGAGCAGGGGAGAGTCAGAGAGAGAGGGAGACACAGAATCCGAAACAGGCTACCGGCTCTGAGCTGGCTCTCAGCACAGAGCCCGATGAGGGGCTCGAGCCCAGGAACTGCGAGATCATTACCTGAGCCGAAGTTGGATGCTTAACCGACTGAGCCACCCAGACGCCCCTCAATGTGGATTTTTATGTATATCAAACTATTGATATTTCTTTTTCAGCAAACTGATTGTTTTCTTTTGACTTTTTACCCTAATGCCCTTTTCATCCCCAGGTTAAAGCTTTGGAGGCAGTCTATTTCTTTTGTTTCTGGCTTTCTGGGTTTTGTGTCTTGTTTAGAAAAGCCATCCTCACTTCAAAACCATTTTGTGAAATTACTTGATAATCTCTCCCAGCATTTCCCCAGGTTCTTTGTTAAATTTAAGACTCTGGAAATCATTTTAAGCTAGCAATCAGCCCTAATGTTTGTCTTTTCTAACCTGGGCTCTGGGGTCAATGATGCAGCTTCCTATAAGTTTCAGGACAATCCAGATTTCCCAGAGTCCTAGAGACATGACTGAACCTGGCTTATTGACACATTGCTGCTGGTGACCCAGGACCCCCAACCCTCTCCTCTACACCGAGTCCTTGGTTCAGACCCCAGATCCTGAGCAGACCATTCTCACTGGGGCATGTGGGTTCTGGTGGCCCCACAGGGACCTGGATGCCTGTGTGACTCAGCCAGAGGCTGTTGCACTTCCTCTAAATTTGGCGGCTCCCATCGTCCCCTCTTCCCTCCCATCCCGGGTGTGCTGGGCCTTGCCGGCTCCTGTCTGAGGAAATTTGCATCATGCAGCAGCCTGAGGACTTGGGAGGACTGATTCACTGAGCCATGATCTATTCAGCTGCCACCCGGCTTCTCCTGGCCATGACTCTGCCTCTGGTGGGGCCACCAGTTGCTCAAGCATCCCAACCTGTGAGTAAGACTTGGGGCAGGACCCAGGTGAGACCCAGCAAGCTGGGGGTGAAGGGACAGATGGAGGGGTGAGGGCCGGAGAGAGAAGTAAAGTAAAAAGAGAGGCCAGTTTGTTATTGATAAAATCTCTGAGAGGTCAGTCTTCTTTTCCAGAGTGTGGGATAGCTTTTGTTTCTTTGAGTCACTGTGAACTCCAGTGATGCCAGAAGGCTCTCCCAGTCAAGCTTGCCCTTTACAAGTGAAAAAAAAAAAAAAAAAAAAAAGGGTGGCCTGGGTGGCTCAGTCGGTTAAGTGGTTAAGCATCAGACTTTGGCTCAGGTCATGATCTCGCGGTCCCTGGGTTCAAGCCCCGTGTCAGGCTCTGTGCTGACAGTTAGCTCAGAGACTGGAGCCTGTTTCAGATTCTGTGTCTCCCTCTCTCTCTGACCCTCCCCTGCTCACGCTGTTTCTCTCTCTGTCTCAGAAATAAATAAAACATTTTTTTTATTTAAAAAAAATTAAAAATGAAAAGAAAAGGGACATCTGGGTGACTCAGTAGGTTAGGCATCCGACTTCGGCTCAGTCATGATCTCGCAGTCCATAGGTTTGAGCCCCACACTGGGCTCTGTGCTGACAGCTCTGAACCCGGGCCTTGCTTTGAGTTCTGTATCTCCCTCTCTCTGCCCTTCCCTTACTCATACTGTCTCTCTCTCAAAATACATAAACATTTTTAAAAAATAAAAAAATAAGATATAAAAAATGAAAAGAAAAGAAAAATTTTCCAGATTTGGGAACCACCAGCATAGAGGACAGGAGGGAATCTGAAGAAGGACAGTGGAGTCAAGATTAGCACTTTTTGATCTCTGTTTTCTCCCAGGTGGACATCTATATCTATATCTGTATCTCTCTGTACCTGGATTCGTATCCGTATCTGTATCCATATCCGTATCTATATCTGTATCTGTATCTGTTTCTGGATAGATACCCACATTCACATGCAACTTTGGGAGAGGGAGGAGTTGGTGAGGAAATCATTTACAGGAACAAGAGACCAAGGGAAGATGCTGCCTTCTGCTCACCTTCGTGGCAGTTCCTGTGGAGGCAATAGAAGTCCCCAAGCCTCTGAGCACCAGCCAGCTCTGAGCCCCAGCCAGCTCTGCCCAGCCCTCCCCACCCGTGTTCCAGACACAGAATTTCAATTAGCCTAGAGGCCCAGGGACAGGGCAATTCAGGAAGGAATTAGGCAAAGCATGTTGACACTCCGGGGTGTGCCTGGTTCCTGGGTTCAGGTGGCATTTGCAGGGTCTGGCGGGCTCCTTAGGGCTGCATTCCTGGCACCTTCTATCGAAAGCTGCGTTCCCTTCCTGATGTGCCTGCTTGATACCAAGCAAAAAGAAGAGCTTCAAGGGGCTCCTGGGTGGTTCAGTCAGTTGAGCATCCGACTTCGGCTCAGGTCATGATCTCACAATTCAGTTTGTGAGTTCGAGCCCCGCATCAGGGCTCACTGCTGTCAGCACAGAGCCCAATTTAGATCCTCGGTCCCCTTCTCTCTCTCTGCCCCTCCCCTGTTCATTCTGTCTCTCCCTCTCTCTCTATCTCTCTCTCTCTCTCTCTCAAAAATAAACATTAAAAAGAGAGAGAGAAGAGCTTCAAAGAGGTAGAGTCATGCCAAATTACTCAGGCAAGCCCCCAAGTCGCTTGGGGAAGAAAGTGTCCCTGGAAGAAATGTGGGGTCAGTCTCTTCTCAGAGGTCTCTCCTCTGTGCTCTGTTCCAGGGACAGACTCAGACTGGAGGGGAATCGGGGCAGCAGTTGGATCAAAAGGATGAAGCAGATGGTGAGTGGATGGACAGGAGGAGGAAGGGGTGCGGGGAGCAGGGCATGGGGGGAGCAGAGGGAGCAGGGAACGCGGCTGCAGAGGACACATGGAGAAACTGATCCGCGGCGGGTCACGGCGGCCACATAGGTCCAGATTCCAGTTCTCTAGCCGAGAGGCCTTGAGAAAATCATTCCTCTTGGGGAGCCTTGTCTATGAAATGAGGGCTTGGGGGAAGGGTGACATGGAGCTGTGGGTGAATGCGCCGCAGGTAGTGAGGGCTCTGGCCTTCTCGTCAGCTCTTAGCTGGCCCGTGGCAAGTGGGACCTGCCCTTCCCGGCAGTGAGCCCCCAGGTGTGGGAGGCAGAAGGGGACCATGACCTTGCTGTCTCTCCCCTGTAGAGTCAGTATTGGCCTCAGTCTATGTACAGCTGGACTTTCCACACCAGACCTGGCCATTGGCACTCTCCGGGACCCTGACTCTCCCCTTTGCTTCGGCTTCCTCTTCCCCAAGAGCTCTCATTGGCCTCAACCTCACCACAGGTAGGAGGGATTCTACTGAGCCCCACCTCTCAGTGGGAGTAGGAGCCTCAGACAGAAAGGGACATGGGTTTCCCAGGTGGGCGAACGCCGCCAGCCCCTCCCACTTCCGGGACGGTCTGCATGGCGCCTTCCCCGTCTCCCACCAGACAGACCCTTTCCCTCCCGTTCCCTGTCCCTCTCTTCTAAACGTTGGCAGAGGTCCAAGAGGCAGACGGTGGTGGGCTGGCACTTCTCCGCCCCCACCCCTGATGACTTTGGCCAGCAGGACCTCTGCAGCTTTGAACCCTGGCTGAGGAGGCAGTCCCTGATGGCCGAGGCTCTCGGGACTTCGGGATTGTTCCAGACACCCAGCCCTGGAGCCTCTCACGCAGGCTCTCTCATACAGGCTGCCCACTTCTTGTCCCCTCCCTCCGCCACAGAATGTAACGTCCACCACGATGGGCGCACCTACTGCGCCTGCCTCTCTGGGTACCAGTGGAACGCCAGCGTCTGCTCGCATCACCGTCTCTGCCAGAGCCCCCACAGCCGCGGGCCCTGTGGCTGTCTGGTCCTCAGCCCTGCTGAAGCCGGATACTGCCAGCTGCTGCCGCCTGGTGAGGAGGTTGGGAACTTGGAAAGGTCCCAAGCCCAGTGGCTCCCAAGCCCATTTCTCCCAGCGGTGGGAGAAATGCCAGTTACCCTGGCAGATCAGAGCCCTGAGCTTGGGGCCCAAATAGTGAGGTGAATGAACCACAGGGCTCCTGAGACCTATGGACACGGAGAGAAAGTGCTAGAGTGACTGCTGTTGACCCTGGAAGGCCAGGAAGGGATCTCCGGCAGCCGTGGGTTACCTCGGGGAGTGGAAGTCACCAAGGCCAAAAGGTTTCCCTGTTGGGTTCCCAGTGACAGAGAGGATCTTCCAGGCCGGACAGAGTGCCAGGGAACAGACGACCAGTACTGGAGGGGTGGGGAGGAAGTGAGGACGAATGAGCTTCTGAAGATGGGGGAGGAGTGGGAGCTCAGCCCCGTGGAGGGCCACAACTCATCCTTTCCGGGTCCCCCGCCTCCTGCCTCCTGACAGTCCCCGGAACACTGAGCCTGGGCTCCCAGGTACAGATGCCTGGCAACACGCTGAATCTGACCCTCGTCACGAGCCACGAGACCACCAACCTAAACTGGTTCCTGCGGCCCGCGGGGAGCCCCAGACCCATCCTCCTGCAGCCGGGGACACATGTGTCCTTGACCTCCAGCCCGGGCCTGGCTGTCCTCAGCATCCTCAACATCTCCCATAAATGGGCAGGTAGCCAGCCTGCCCTTCCTCTCATCTCATCTCTTCTCAGCCTTCCTCTTCTCTCTGTCCTTCTCCCCTCCCTGCCCCCCCCCCGCCCACATACACACCTTGCCTTCCCCTTCCTCCCTCCCCTCTCCTTCCTGCTTTTCTTCTCTCCCCTTCTTTTCCCCTTCATCTTCCCATTTACTCATTCTGGGGAAACAAAGGCCCAGGGGCCCACGGGAGAATGGGTTTCCATTTCAGCAGAGAACAGACACCTGTTTTTCATCACGATGTTGCAGTGGAAGTGAGCAGTGCAAAAAGGGCATCTCCTGGTGGAAAATAGGTTCACCTTAGGATTCGAGGCTCCACGCTGTTAAAGAAAAGGAGTTAGGATCCTCTTCTCCAGACCTCTTCCTCCTAGACACCCCTTCCAGGGCAGGCATCTTTTTTGTTTTTTAATGTTTATTTATTTTTGAGACCAAGAGAGCACACATGCGTACAAGTGAGGGGGGCAGACACAAAATCTAAAGCAGCCTCTAGGCTCTGGGCGGCAGCACAGAGCTCGTTGTCATCATCTTGGGGCTCCAACCCACGAGCTGTGAGATCATGACCTGAGCTGAAGTCAGATGTTCAACAGACTGAGCCACCCAGATGCGGAGGGCAGGGGGTCTTTCTTGCCAGACTTAAAGCAGAGGCCAGACCTTGTGTGCCCCTTGGGAAGCAGCCGAGCTCCCGTGGCACAGGGGTGGGGGCAGAGGAGCCCAGAGGGAGGTGCAGCAGGTGTGTATCTGCAGGTGAATACATGTGCTGCTTTGAAGCTCAGGGATTCAGGTGGGAGCTGTACCAGGTGGCGAAGGTGCCCCTGCAGGAGACAGACGTGGCCCGGCTTCCAGACCAGCTCTCCGTCTCCTGCACCACCAGCCCTGGCTTCCGGCTGAGCTGCTGCCTCCCCAGCACACACCTGGTCTACACGGCTTCCTGGAGCCCCGCAGAGGGCAGCAAAGGTACGAGGGCTATGTCTGGCCCAGGGGAGAAGGGGCAGCTGGTGTCCTCCAAGCAGCTGACTCTCCAACTCACAGGAAGTAGATGCTGCAGTTCAACGTGGAGGTTCCAAGTCCAAGTTCATTCAATACCGTTGTTACCCCATGAGCAATCCTAATTCTATCAATATAGCAATACCCGCGTGAGTGTCGATAACTGTTGGCAAAACGTTTTCACACGATCTTAATGAACTCTTGCAACACACTCTGTGACGTTCCTTTGATGGCAGTCCCCATTTTACCAGTGAGGAACCTGGCTTCAAGTCTTGAGACTGGTTAGAAACCCCCAGGCGTCCTTCAACAAAACCCAAGCTCTGCCTCTGTGGTTTGATGCTCGCACACCACTCAGCTCTCCCCCACAGCATCATTTCTGAATGTTGCTAGAGAGACTGAAAGGGCATCTCTGGGCCTGCTGCGTTCTAGGTCTGTTCCAGGCCCAGTAACTGCTCCCCTCTCTCGTGTCACTTGCAGCCTCCTTAGTCAACACGCCGGACTCCCAGTGCTTCGTGCTGGCCGTTCGGCGTTGCCCTGTGGCTGACACCATGTATACCTGTGAGCTGCGGAGCCCAGGACTGAGCCCTCTCAGGGTCCCCGTCTCTGTCACCATCATCCGGGGTACGTGGGGTCCAGCTGGCTGCGTCTGGCCTTCACCTGCTTGTCCTGGGAGCTGATGTTCCCCCACGCTGGGCCACGCGGCCAGTCTCTGGAGCCTGAACACGGGATATCATTCTTCAGACGGAGACACCACATGCCCTAAGGACTCTTCAGCTGTTGCCTGGAACGTCACCAAGGCTGGCCACGTGGCACAGGCCCCGTGTCCCATGAACAGGACCGGTGTGGTGAAGCGGACCTGTGGCTTCGATGGCAGTTGGGAGCCCATTCGCAGCGGCTGCACAGACACAGAGCTGCTGGCCTTGTCTCATAGAGCCTGGGTAATGCTTCAGGCCCTGCTGCCTCAGGCCTCTCCCTCCATGACCTACCCCTTTGTCACTCAGGACCTAGCTTTTGAAGCCTTTCCCCCCTGAGGCCTGGCCTGAAGGCCATTCACCTTCCCTGAACCAGAGCCTAGCAGAGCCAGGGCGTAAGGGTGGGGGCCACAGAGGGCCTGGGACTCTCATGGCGCCCGGGTGCTATTCTCCAACCTTAATCCCCCTAAGTGTCCATCCTGCTACCATGGGTGTGAGTTCCTTCAGTGTGGCTTCCTTCTCTCCTGGGACTGGAGCAGGGAGGTGGGGGAAAGAGCTTGGTGAGGGAGGAGTGGCCCCTCTCTAGTGAGGACTCGCCCACCCTACCCCTCACTTCCTGCATCTCTTCCGTGTCAGCTGCTGTGGGCAGGCCAGGGCCGGCCGGCTGTAGAGGTGCCCCAGATCCTGGCAGAGCTGTCACAGCAGGCGTTGGCGGTGAGCTCACCCTCAGACTTATTGGCACTGCTGGGCACCATTTCATTCCTGGCCAAGGTGGTGGTGGATGCTAGAATACAGCTTAACCGCAGCTCCCTGGAGGTGAGATCTCTGAGCCATGGCAGGGGCCACCTGGGTAGTGGGGACCCGAAGCTCTTTATCTCTGGGCACTTCTGTCCCTCTGGCACCACCAGGGGCTGTCAGAAAGCAGACCTTTCTAGAGAGTCTGGGTGCCTGCTGCCTGGTCCATCTCTCCTCTTAGACACCAGCTTCCAAGGCCATCGAATATGGAGAAGGGCTGGGGCTGGGAACACATGGGAGGTCGGGGAAGGCAGGAAAGGGGGTGAAGACATGAGTTCAAAGGCATGCAGATGTGCGGATATAGTGCAAACCTGCGTGCGCGTGCACACACACACACACACACACACACACATACACACACACACATGAGATACCTACATGGGAGTATCAATCACCCTCAGCTTTGCTGGACTCACTTGAACCCACTCCCAAAATGGGCAACAATTGATGACCAGTAAGCTGCATCCAAAAGAACAACCAGAGGCGATGACATTGCACACTCTTCCTATCTGGGAAAGTATGTCATATGTGTCTGGACAGACATGCATGTGGCCTTCCACTTCAGAACATGTGCCGTCTAACCACTGGGCACCATTCCTAGCTTTGCAGACCTGTTGGGGGTCGAGGAATTGGAGAGGGGGCTCCCTTAGGGCCTGGGCAGCCTGACGGACGGAGGTGAGAGGAAGCTTATTAGATGGAGGCGCTAAAGGTGCATCAGGAGACCATACTTGAAGCCGCCCCAGGGATTAGCTCCACGGTGCCCCATTCTTTCCATCTAGAAACTCCCCCTTCACAGGCCTGTCTTCCTCTTCCCTTTTCTCTCCACTCTGGCATCTCCCGCGCTCCACTCTCGCATCTTCCGCGGCACTAGGAAAGCTAGGTTTGGCGCCTGTAGCTGCCAGTGCCCCTGCCCCGGCACTGTGGGTTCTAGCGGCCAGAGCTCATCTCTTTGTTACAATCTCTCTGTCGGGTTCTGCAGGCTTTCCTGAAAACCACAGACAAGGTCCTAGACATGGACACCAGCTCTCTGTGGACCCCGGCCCAGGCCCAGAAGCCCTCGACGGGCTCAGATCTCCTGCTGGCTGTGGAGACCCTGGCACGCAGCCTATGTCCTGAGGATCACCCCTTCTCCTTCAGCTTGCAAAATGTGCAGCTGCAGACCCAACTCCTTGGGCCCACAGTCCCCGCTGACTACAGAGTCTCCTTCTCCACGCAGCCCCCACTGCAGGCACACATTCCCAGGTGCTCACTGGCCCCACTGGGCCATAATGGAACCAATGTCAGTATTACGAGCCTGGTGCTGCGGAAACTGGACCGTCTGTTGCCCGCAAACTATGGCCAGAGGCTGGGGGACTCCCTCTATGCCACCCCCGGTCTGGTCCTCGCCATCTCCATCATGGCAGGTGGCCAGGCCTTCGACCGGGGAGAAGTCATCATGGACTTTGGGGACACAGGTAGCACTCCGCACTGTGTCTTCTGGGACCACGGTCTCTTCCAGGGCGAGGGGGGCTGGTCAGGTGAAGGGTGCCAGGTGCAGACGGCTCGCGCCGGCCCCACCACACGGTGCTTCTGCCGGCACCTCACTGCTTTCTCCATCCTGATGTCCCAGAACACGGTTCCGGAAAACCCCACCTTGGAGCTGCTGAGTCAGGTGGGCTTGGGGGCCTCCATCCTGGCCCTGCTGGTGTGCCTAGGTGTGTACAGGCTGGTGTGGAGAGTTGTGGTACAGAACAAAGTCGCCTACTTACGCCACATGGCCCTGCTCAACGTGGTGCTCTGCCTTTTGGCCGCAGACACCTGCTTCCTGGGAGCGCCCCTGCTTCCTCCGGGGCCCCGAAGCCCCCTCTGCCTGGCCGCTGCCTTCCTCTGTCATTTCCTCTACCTGGCCACCTTTTTCTGGATGCTGGCTCAGGCCCTGATGTTGGCTCACCAGCTGCTGTTCGTCTTCCATCAGCTGTCCAAGTGCAGAGTACTCTCCCTGATGGTGGGCCTCGGCTACGTGTGCCCAATGGGGTTTGCAGGCGCCGCCCTGGGCCTCTACCTACCCCGAGGGCAATATCTGGGGGAGGGGGCATGCTGGTTAAGTGGGAAGGGAGGGGCGCTCTACACCTTCGTGGGGCCGGTGCTGGCCATCGTGGGCGTGAATGGGCTGGTGCTCACCGTGGCCATCCTCAAGCTCCTGAGACCTTCGCTGTCAGAGGGGCCCCAGGCGGAGAAGCGCCAAGCCCTCCTGGAGGTGATCAAAGCTCTGCTCGTCCTCACACCCGTCTTTGGCCTCACCTGGGGGCTGGGCCTGGCCACCCTGCTGGAGGAGGTCTCCATCGTTCCTCACTAAGTCTTCACGATTCTCAACAGCACCCAGGTGGGTGATAAAGTGCTGGCTGTGCCTTCGCCCCTGCCAGTCCCTTCTCGAGGGGGTATTGAGGTGGAGCCGAAGAAACAGCCTCAGGAATTTTAGGAGACTTAGGTTTGGATCGCAGTTCCTCCGCCGACTTGCTGGAGGACTTTGGACGAACCTCTGGGAGCTTTGGTTTTCTCATCTGCAAAAACAGTACCTGGTTTTGGCAGAGATCAGGGAATTGTCAGTATCCCAAACCTTGATACTCCCTTTGCAGCCAAAGCACTAAGAGAGGCACCTGAAATGGATCCTATGCACTAAACGGTGCTAATGCCCAGAAAACACCTCCCTGTGAAGCCTCAGGACACGAATTAGACAGGACGACAGAGGCTGAAGGAAAAGGAGGGGGAAAGAGTTGATTTCTTTTTTTTTTAAATGTTTTATTTATTTCTAGGAGAGAGAGAGAGAGAGACAGCGTGAGCAGGGGAGGGTCAGAGAGAGAGGGAGTCACAGACTGAAACAGGCTCCAGGCTCCGAGCTGGCAGTCAACACAGAGCCCGACGCGGGGCTCGAAACCACGAACCGCGAGATCATGACCTAAGCGAAAGTCGGACGCTTAACCGACTAAGACACCCAGGCGCCCCGGAAAGAGTTGATTTCGGGTGATTTCCTTCCTCCTTGATGAACTTATCCCCGTATCCCCCTTTTCAGGGTGTCTTCATCTTACTCTTTGGTTGCCTCATGGACAAGAAGGTGAGTCTGCCCACCTAACCCCCAACTGCCGTGCAGTGCCCGGGCCAGGGCTCAGGCTGGCGTAACCAGAGCATTCCCTGTCCTGCAGGTGCGAGAGGCTTTACTCAAACGCGCCTGCCGCTCCCAATCCCCCAACTCCACCATCTCCCTGGTGAGTTATTAGCTTCAAATTCTCAGTTCTGCCACTAAGAGCAGGTCAGAAGCAGCTGTCCCACAGCCTCCTGAGAGGAGACAGGCACAGCTAGAAGCTGAGAGAAGATTGGGATTGTCTTTTAGAATGAGCATGGTCCAGGTTCGAACTCCCCAACAGTGGAGACAGGAGCTCTGTGAGAGCGGTCAGGGTCAGGTTCCTGGCCTCCTGAGTAAACCTGGGCTGCTGGGGACTCTCTTTGTCCCTGGTTTCTCCTGTTGAAAATCTGCCTGCAGTTACTATGTAAAGGGAAAAGCTAGGACCAGGTAAGCATGGGAGTGTGCAGAGCTGAGAGCCAAGTTCCTTAGGGTTCCCGCGGCCCCGGCTGAGGGCAGGTGACAATGTGAAAATGGGCACAACCTCATCGAAAAAGAGTTGATAATAATAAGAGTCGCACTGCAATTGGGCCTTCCGGGTCCTTCCTAGGCGACATACGAAACCTCCATCCCAGAACACAGCAAAGGAGGAAGGGAAGACCGCAGGTGAGAAGCAAGCCTTCCTGGGAGCAGTGTGGAGGGAAGTGGAGTGTAACAACGGACTTCCTGGCAAAGAAGGCTCCTCTCCACATAACCAATGGTCCCAGCCCAAAGGCTGGAAAACAGACTTCTCCAGCACAGACATTTCTAGATGGCCTGGGGAAGATGGAGGACTCAGAGCAGGCGTAGCATCTTCCACTGCTTTTACAGAAAGCTGGAGGGAGTTTTACCACCACCAACCCTTGGCTCGGTCCACTCTGAAAACTCTTTTGTGCACTGTCAAATTTTTTGATTATCCTGAAAAACCCTTGCTTTGAAGGAGTTGCCGTTGGTGGACTTGGTGTCCAGCGGGGTGGGCAGCCTGCAGAGGTGGTGGAAGGTCTCCTTCACCAGCCCTGAGCTTCAGGGTGAGCCCTTTCACGGAGAAGGCAGAGGCTTTGAGTAAACCACACACAGAGCCCATGTCCCTCCTCCTCCAAGGGAGTTGGGGGAATGTGCCAGAATCCACCAGGATGAGCCCTGACCCAGGGCTCCGAGCCCTTCTGCCATCCCAGAGCTCCGCACCCCCGCCCCCGCCCCACAGATGGGCTAATATTTCCACTCGTCACGTTCCCTTCTCTCACAGGTCACCTGTCCACACCCCTAAACTATCCAAGCAAAAATAGCATGAAAAACTAGCTAAAGCTACCTATCGAATATGCCTGCCTTTGCTGTAAACCTAATTGACAGATATTAAAGTTCAAAATAATTGCAAGTAAGGCCGTCTCAACCAGTTTTTGACTAATCAACAGCTCACGTTACAGACAGATCTGATAAAAACTGTTTTAACTACTCAGTGATTTCTTTTCTGGTTATTTCCCCTCCATAGCCATGATAAAAGGATGAGAATGGCAGAAACTCTGTTCTTCCCAACATTAAAGGTGAAAGGACAGAGTTTGGTTCGTTTCTTTTCAAAGTTTCGGAAAAGTTAATAGGTAGGTCTCTCTTTAACTCTTCCAACAGTATCAGTATAAACGTAAGTTTCATAGATGTATGAATGTATATAATCACCGATTTGAGCACCTTTGTAAGAGCGCATTAACGATTTTAAACTAGAGAGGAAGTTGCCACAGACCACTAAGAATTAAGGCAACAAGATGACAAAAATGGACATTTAAAAGTGACACCCAGGGTGCCTGGGTGGCTCAGTCAGTTAGGCATCTGACTTGATTTTCGCTCAGGTCATGATCTCATGGTTTGTGAGTTCGAGCCCCATATCAGACTCGCTGACAGTGCGAAGCCTGCTTGGGATTCTGTCTCTCCCTCCCTCTCTGTCCCTCCCCTATTCTCTCTGTCTCTCAAGAAGTAAACAAACAGGGGCGCCTGGGTGGCTTAGTCGGTTAAGCGTCCGACTTTCGCTCAGGTCATGATCTCACGGTTTGTGGGTTCGAGCCCCACGTCGGGCTCTGTGCTGACTGCCAGCTCAGAGCCTGGAGCCTGTTCCAGAGTCTGTATCTCCCTCTCTCTCTGACCCTTCCCTGCTCGCACTGTCTCTCTCTCTCTCCTAGAAATAAATAAAAATTTAAAAAAGTAAACAAAAAACAAACAAACAAATGTGACAGGCTCAAGCTAAGACCAGATATGGAGAAGAAATGTTTTTTAATAGCCTTGGGAGGTCACCAAGACATCTAGCTGAATTACCTCATGGAATCCACAAGATGATGGGAGGTTCTGAAAATGTTTTCAACTACAGAAATGGAAAAAAATTCTCATGAATGAGTCTTTGTTAATTACAAAAGTCATGGCTATTTTTATACAATGGGATGGGAATGCTTTCTGTTGAAATGGATATGCTCTTGAAAACATTTTTCTTATAAACATGGATCTGTGTGAGTATTTTCATTGTACAGAAATCAGCCCAAATAGTTCTCTAAATGGATTCAATTGTTTTGTTCAACTAGAAGATACCAGCTCAGCAGGGCAATTGCAACGGTCCTATGCCTCGGACCTGTTCCAGCCCCCATGGGAGGTGGGCGGCCACTGAAATGGCGAGGGCTTTGCCTGCTGGTTTCCCTGGCAACAAAGTCTTGTCTCAATTGCCGGTACTTCATTAATATTTACAGTCTTGATTTTTTTTCTTTTTCTTTTTCTTTTTTTAAAAAATTTTAAATGTTTTTATTTATTTCTGAGAGAGAGAAAGAGACAGAGTGAGCAGGGGAGGGTCAGAGAGAGGGAGACACAGAATCTCAAACAGGCTCCAGGCTCTGAGCTGGCAGTCCGCACAGAGCCCGGAGCGGGGCTCGAACCCATGAACCATGAGATGATGACCTGAGCTGAAGTCGGACACTTAACCGACTGAGCCACCCAGGCGCCCCTCTTTTTTCTTTTAAAAATTTTTTTCTTTAAATATTTATTTATTTTTGAGAGAGAGACAGAGTGCAAGTGGGAGAAGAGCAGAGAGAGGGAGACACAGAATCAAAGCAGGCTCCGGGCTCTGAGCTGCCAGCCCAGAGCCCGACACGGGGCTTGAACTCATGAACCAAACTGTAAGATCATGACCTGAGCTGAAATTGGATGCTTAACTGACTGAGCCACCCAAGTGCCCCAAGTCTTCATTTTTCTAATTATAAAATTACTTTTTAAACTTTCTTTAATGTTTATTCACTTTTGAGAGAGAGACAGAGTACAAGTAAGGGAGGGCAGACAGAGGGAGACACAGAATCTGAAGCATGCCCCAGGCTCTGAGCTATCACCACAGAGCCTGATGTGAGGCTAGAACTCACGAACCATGTGATCATAACCTGAGCTGAAGTCAGACGCTTAACCAGCTGAGTCACCCAGGCGCCCCAATTATAAAATTATTTTTGAATGGTTCAAATAATATACATTCACTTTAAAAGCAGCAGAGACCTCTGAGTGTGCTTCTGTAGAAATATGTGTTCTCATATTTCCTTCTCAAATGATGACACATAACTCAATGCATGCTAAAAATGCATGTAAGAATTGACAAACGAAATGACATTAAGCCTTTGTTCCCTTGGTTGTCACATAAAAAAGGACTGAACAGAAGGTTCTGGAGGTAAATATAAGAAAGTGAGGATTTCGTTTCTAAATTGCATTTCTATTCCATTTCTAAAAAGATGGTTTAAAGAAATAAGCAGACAGGTGAGCAGATGAATGCACAAAGGATGTGCATTCTAGTGTGTTTATATTCTTAATAAAGAGCACTCGTTAAAACAAATGAGGATATATCTACCAAAGGTATGCTATATGGTCATTAAACATGATGACGCATAGCCACACCTACCCATATGGAAAAGCGTTTAGGCTCTACAGCTAAGTAAGACAAAAGGGTTCCAGGACAGCATTATAGTAGCCAATTTTGGTCCATACCAAAATTGGTCCCTTTGTGTCCAAATATGTGCACTAAAGAGGAGAGACATCAAAATATTAGCAGTGAGTCTCTCTACTTGATTTTTTATTTTTTTCTTACTCTATAAATATTATTTGCATTATTTCTTACAATGAGCATGTAATTCTATGGTAGAAAAAAGTAATTTTGAAAAAGCTCTTCTGAACATTTTGCATATTTAAAAATAGAGACTTGGGGTGCCTTGGGTGGCTCAGGAAGTTAGGTATCCGACTTCGGCTCAGGTCATGATCTCGCAGTTCGTGGGTTCAAGCCCCACATTGGACTCTGGGCTGACAGCTTGGAGCCTGGAGCCTGCTTCAGATTTTATGTCTCTCTCTCTCTCTCTCTGCCCCTCCCCTGCTCATACTCTGTCTCTCTGTCTCTCAAAAATAAATAAATATTTAAAATTTCTTTAAATAAATAAAAAATAAAAATAGAGACTTGACAAGCAAAAAACAAAACAAAAATTCCATCTGATCAATGATAGTTCCCTAAGTATGGAGGGGGAAAGGGGCTCCTGGCTGCTTAGCGCAGCCACAAACATTGCCAACATGTCTAAATGCTTTGTCCCTTTCACAATAATGCATTTCTTTTCAGAATAGTATTTTTCCTCAGGATTTTTATCCTTCAGCCCCACATTCTCCCATTTCCTCTCAATCAATGATCCCTCTTCACTGAAAGAGAGTAATATACCAGTAATATACCAGAGTCCCAGATAAACCACAGCGGGTACAGACAGAGGACCTCCGAGCCATCCATTAAATCCCAGAAAAAGGCTGGGCGACTCTGCTCCTGCTCTTCACTCCTTGAGAGAGACTGGAATTTGAGAGGCCTGCATAAAAAATAAAGATAAATGAGAAAGGACAGGGGGAGAAGATAGGCTGAGAATTAGGATTCCTCTCTCTGGAAAGATGGATACAAAGGTGGCAAGAATTTATCTGTTTTGCTGGTTGCTGTAGCTTCAGCGTCTAAAATATGCTTGACATGTAACAGGCACTCAGTAAGTATTTATTGAGTGAACGGACTGTACAGACCACGGGAAGAACTTGGACTTTTGCTAGGAATCAGAGACCACAAAAGAAGCAGACAGCGAGGAGGGGGGTGGGGAGCGCAGTGGGGAAGTGCATTTCTGAAGTTTGAATGAAAGATGAGGGCAAATAAAGGCTCTTCTCTCAAATGGTTATTTGGTGGAGCAGAGGGTCTAATTAAAGTTTTATATGAAAACAGAGACACAAGTTGGGATCTTTAAGAACAGCATAATGGGGGTGGGGGGGCATGTGGGCTGTTCAGTGGGCAGGGCCACCGACTTTGGCTCAGGTCCTTATCTAACGGCTTGTGAGGTCCAGCCCCGCCCGCATCCGGCTGTCTGGTGTCAGCACAGAGCCCACCTTGGATCCTTTGTCCCCCTCTCGATGCCTCCCCCCTACTTGTACTCTCTCTCTCTTAATAATGAATAAACATGAAAAAAAAATAGCATAACCAATTTGAGATACTGGAGAACAGCAACGTGTATTTTAGATGGAGGCATCTATAACCACGACAGCCAAGGGTCGTCTTTTATCACGGTCATACTACCGAAAATAGCTCAGCTTTCTCTCACACATATAGAATGTTTAGAAATAGCCTATAACTTATGTAAAGCTGGGTGAACCTGACCTAACCGCAGACCCTAGAACTTTAGAAATGCCGCCAAAGTCCTCTCTGGGCCGCTCCCACTGCCTCTCGCCCAGAGGTAACTTCTGCTCTGAATGTTTTTGACTTAACACTAAACTTTTTGGGGTGGAACACGGAAAATTTACCATTTTAACCATTTTTTAAGTTACAGTTCCATAGGGGTAGGTGTATTCACATTGCTGTACGACCAATCTCCAGA